TCCAGCAATCGCAGTCATCGCCGTCAGGGGATGCTCTGACAGGCCAAACTTGGAAGCGCAGGATGGTTCTTAAAATACATCTTGACACCTTGGTGGGAAACGGGCCCTGTCTGCAAAACGCAGGGGCAAGGGAAAGGGCTTTTTGGAGGAGAGGACAAGCAGAAGGCATGGGTCTAACGAGACGACTCACGATGCAGCCGAGGGGCGACCGGCTGAGAGCTACAAACGCTTTTCCAACCCTTTGGGGGCTGACTTAAGGTGACATCGCTGAAGTGTTACCCTTACAGCAGTGCCGTTCGCAGGGGCACTGACCGGGGGTTGTCTCTTAAAACCGCCTGCAGCAGCGTGCTCCGTCCTCGGCGAGGAGGCAGCGCGGCGGAGGAGCGGGCCCTCGGTCTCAGCCTCTTTGTTGGACTCGAAAGCAAGGCGAGAGGAAAAGAGCAGCAGGCTAAACTCCCCGCGTACCCCCGCCGCGCCGCACCTAGGCAGGGAGCCGACACGGAAAGCACAATGCCACCTTTTGACGGCAGACACCGCGGTTCTTTAAAGGACTGAACAGTTCAATTCTTGCTGCTCGCTATGGTGCCATCAGTCATTCACGTTCTGGCGCGACGCGAGCGGGGACGGCTCCACTGAGCTGCGCGGAGTTTCACCCACCTACATCAGCTCCCGAGTCTGTTTGCGGATTTGATTTCTCCCCCCCCGCCCCCCGGTTGGATGAAAGATTTCTCAGAACTTCCTAGTTGGAAATCTCGCAGCAAGTCGCTCCTCAGATGCCGGACAAATAATAGTGCTTTGCACTTCTAAAGAACCTTTCATCTGAGGATTTCAGAGGACTTCACATATGGCAATACGCATTAACCCTTCCAGCAGTCCCCAGTTTTATTGCAGGAGGCAGCCCTCGCTTCTGGGAGGTTAATGGGCTCGTTTGCATTCCCCGTGGGTCAGGCTGATAAAGGAGAGCGGGATTCCCGATATCCAGCCCTAACTGCCAATAGCGGAAGGTGACAATCCTGATTTTTCCAAGTCTGGATGGTCTACTGCCAACTGCTGCTGTTGATCCACAAAGTCTGA